GTTGAATGTATAGCGGGTTTAATAGTAACACTTGTTATTACCAAGGTAGTTCAGGAGGTCAATTTTAAATATTGGAGCTGACCCTAGAGAAGGAGTTTAAGGTATTGGAGGAGAGTTAGTAGTTTCTGTAAATAGTGATATGACGGTCGGGCGACTGAGATGGAAGTTTATAATTTTTCTTGGTACACCCAAATGGTTAGAAGGTACATCACGACATTAAATGTCAGTTTTGGTGAACAGGTACGGATAAGAACGTGTATATAATTGCCCTAAGTGTAAAACCTGCTACAAAGGTAGAAAGTTGATCATCGGATATCATAGAATCTTTAGCCACTTCTTATAACAAATATGGAAGTTGAACTAAACAAGAGTGACGGTCAATGGGAAGGATCGACATTGATTTGGAATTTTTAATTTTTCATACGGATTCCAAGTGGATTGAGAAAAGATCGCTTGAGGACATAAATTTGAGTGATGCTTATTTTAGAACTTCATAGTAGTTCTATAGTTCAGTGATAGTGGTGTTATAGCATGTGGATGTCCATATTAGTGGATGCAAAGTGCTATTTCGAATGAGCTTTATGAAGATTTTGGAGCAGCAGCTCTACTTCATATCTATAGACGGAGGAATTAATCAAGAGATTAAATTAGACCATACAGGATATGTTTGAGGCGTATATCTTAGATTTTCATGGGCAGTTGGAAGTGTTTACTTCACTTGTCAGAATTTTATCTGTGATATTGTTGGCACAAGGAGGTTAGTGTGACAACTTTGGAGGTTTTGTATCATTCACAATGCATACCTCTCATTTGTTGGTTGGAAATGGAAGTAAGGGTTGTACAATCAGACTTCGACTTCATTTAAAAATATGCCGGAAAGAGATACTTCTTTTTGTACTAAACTGCGCGCGGTTGGGAGGCGACAGTGGGATGTTGTAAATAGTTGAACTCATATACTAGAGTTTTTCTATCAGGGAGTAGTTTGCTTGTTCTGTTTTCCATATAGGAAGAAAGGCGATTTTTGGAGAAAGGTCAATTTTACTTATTACATTGACTTTTAGAGAATTGTGTTTCGCAATTGAGGCAGTCGCCTCTGAATTAGCGTTACCAAATTATTAGCGCTGGGTGCATAGGAGTTTGTGCGTATATTCTATAGCACTTGAAGGTATGTAGATCATTCATTTGTCAACATGGGAGGATTACGTTGTTATTTGATACAACTTACGCATTGTATGATTATTGTGTTTCTTAAAATATAGGAACTCTGTATACCACTTGGTATATTGGAGTTAAGTGGAGCCCTTATAGTGAGGTTGCGTCTACTTGGGAATATGATGATGTTTTTCACTCACAGTTTCCAAGCATAATGGAAGAAAGTAAGGGCGAATTCCGAGGACGGAATTCCTTTTGTTAGGGGGGAAGAATGTAATATCCTTAATTTTAAAAGGATAGTCTCGGTATTTATTTATTTGTTTTAATTGTATTTTTAATTATTTAATTGATTATTTGACTAATTGCTTATGTGTTTAATTGAATTAGGTATTACTTGATTATTTGATTACGTGTCTATGTATTATTTGTATTTGTCTATGTGTTAATTGTTTAATTAGATTATGTGCTTAAATGGTATTTTGATTAATTGTAAATTAAATATTTTCCTTTTTTATTATTTTCTTTTATTTTTCTTTTATGGTTATGGTCAGTAGTAATGGGCCAACCAATTGGGTCCCATGGACTACTTGGATAAGAGGTTGGATGTGCATGGATTATTACCCATGGATAGTTGTGTATGTATATATATATAGATATATATTATATACATATATAAAAAGGAAAGTAATTTATTAATTACTTCTATGGTAACTTGGGTAGTAATATTTAATCTGATGTATATGTTTTATATTTAAATAATAAAAATATACGTAGATTTGATACGTGTTATGTTTTAAGTTACTTTATAATATTATGGTAACTTATGTATTATTGGATAATCCATTAATAAATAATGGAATATGTATAATTTATTTATTTAATAAAGATATACATAAATTATATACGTAACATATTTTACTTACCTTTTAATATATATAAAAAGGAAATTAATTGATTAATTACTTTTATGGTAACCTGGGTAGTAATATTTTATCTGATGTATATGTTTTATATTTAACTAATAAAAATATACATAGATTTTATTATGTTTTAAGTTACTTTATAATATTATGGTAACTTCAATATTATTGGATAATCCATTAATAAATAATGGAATGTGTATAATTTATTTATTTAATACAGATATACATAAATTATATACGTAACATATTTTACTTACCTTTTTAATATTTTAATATATTTTTTTTTTAAGTTGACGTGAATTGGGAAAAGGGTTAGGGTTATTTTATTTAACCTATAAATATATAGCTATAGGTTGTAAAAGAGGGTTAAAAATATTCACGTGATATATTATAGAGAGAGAGAGTTAGAGAAGGAAGGAGGAGAAAACCCTGTAGAGAGAAGATCAAGGAAGAAGAAGTTTAACTTTCGATCCGAAAGTTTAAGGCAAGTTCTTCTTCTATCTCTTTCCCTTTGATTCGTATTTCTGTACATGCCTAGGAAATTCCAGGATTTATTAAACACATAAAATTAAATTATTATGTATGTTTAATTGGATTAGAACATAAGTTTTATGAATTTTGTTCAAATCTGTTCTTGTGTTATGAATTGATAAATGCATGATTTTGATTTGATTTTCGGTGTGAATTTTTACATATTTAAATTATGTATTTTTCATATCTGTGGAATGATGGAACGTAGAAACATGCGTAGGATTCCTGAACATTAAATTGGAACTAAGTTTGGGTTTAAATAAATTTAAATAGACTCAATCATAATGATGCTTGCTATTTGAATGTTTTAAACAAACGAATGAATTTAATCTTTTAATAAGTTTTAGTAATTGAGATTAAATGTGTAGGATGAATTGGATATGGAGAATGCTTATTTGACGGTATAGTAAAGTATCATCATATGTATAAGAATCAGTTAATGTAGGACATATGATATTGGAAGCTTAAATAAATAATAAGTCATTCCTATTTTGTGATAACTTGATATCATATTATCATAGTTATTTCTAGATAGTTTAATGTATTTTCTTAATCGTTACATTAATTGTTGGATTGTGTGGTTTAATGCATCGGTATGGGACGGTGGCATTCTAGGGACGGATTAACTTATCAGTTAAGTCCTACCTATTTTATATAAGGGAATGGATTGACTAAAATGTTAAGTCCTACTTATATTCAAGTCAGGTCAGCTGAACAAGTTGAATGACTTATGGAGGATTAATTTATTATATAAAGGAATGGATTAACTAAAATGTTAAGTCCTACTTATATTCAAATCAGGTTAGCTGAACAAGTTGAATGACTTATGGAGGATTAATTTATACTGAATATGATGGTTACTAGATTATATATATATAAGTATGGTGTCATGATATGAGCTTAAGTCTCAGGATCAATGGTTAGGGTGCGTATATCGCCAAGGATGTGTAGCTAGATATAGTGTAGTTGTGTACCCTGGTAGGTCTAGGTACTCATGCCCACTATATATGCGTTTTGCATGTTGCCTACTATTCAGGTTGAGACAACCCTATAGTCTAGTGAGGTTCCTTTAGTGTGTGTGTGTATATATATACGGACTACTAGTTACTATTGGATTGACTAGGATGTATACGTGTATCGGATCTCTGCTTGGACTGTAGTAGAGTAGAACTTGTTTGTGGGCCTGACCCACCATTATTTTTCAGATGTTCGTCAGGAGTAAAGGTTGTTCGTACTGAGCGGGGATCAGTCTACTTCATTCTTCCGATGCTATATAGGAGTTCCTTTATGATTCAGTTTCCTGATTTAGACAGTTATTACTGTCATTTGTTTAGTTTGGATTTTCTAAGGGTCCACACAGTATGGATTCCCGAGTTGTATTTTAGAGGATCAGTTGTATCAGAAGAGTTTATTAATTAATGAAAATATATTCTGAGGTTTATTATTAGATTATCTTTTTAGTTTCTTGTCAGCATTTTATTTATTCTTCTTTATTCTTTTGTACTCTGTGTTCGTTTCTTATCAATTTGTTTTGATATCCTTGGGTATTCGGGCGTGGGCCTGGCCAACCAGCATTCGGGAATCCGGGAGTATCACAGTTGGTATGAAAGCACTCCAGGTTCAAGTGTCCTTAGGAGTGTCTTTCGTTATGTGACTTCCGCATTGCGTCTCTTAAAACTTAGAGCCCGTATTAGGATTCATTGTACTCTATTTACGGTTTGTTAGGAGGAGCTGATGTCAATTATATTCTGCAGTCATAGAATGGTTGGCACTAGGAAAATGATGGGTTCAAGGCGAAAGCAGTTGGTAGGGTGGTACAGCTAGATAAGATCAATCATTTGGATAAGGACAAGATGGTTCGATCGATAAGAGAATGAAGTTGGATCGATCGAACTTTGAGATCTTTGAATAGGGACAAACATAGCTCAGATCCATCTGGAAGTGCTGAGATCGATGAAAGTTGGATCGATCAAACTTTTCTTGAGATCGATCGAAGTTGCTAAAATTCCACCTTTTGCTTCCTTTTGCTTTACTTTGCTCCTTTCTTTGATTCATCCCAGAATTGCTTCATTTCTGCTCTTATTTGGCTGAGTTAGCTTATTTTAGGGATAAGTACCTGAAAATGGAAATAACACGAAATCAATCTAAAGTGGAAAAATAAGATAGATAAAGGTTCTAGAATACCTAAGCTTAAGGGGTTTAAATGCGCACTTTTCAGCGCTCATCACCAACCCCATAACCCACCTAGTCGGAACAGTCTCCCTATCGAGGACTAAATAGTTTAAACTATGGTCATGTTGTCACCTCTAACTCTAGTTAACTAAATTAGTTCAAAACTAATCATAGTTATGTAACGACCCTCACCCTAGCCAGACACAATATTGTCCGCTTTTAGCTCCCCTAGCCCATTTCTTGATTTGTGCGTGTCATCCTTGCGCAGGGGCCATGCTAATCTTCTCTATATCGTTCCAATTTTATCGGATGTCGAAGGGACAAATCAAGAAATGTTCCTTATAGTTAATTCAAACTCCTTTTAGTTTTATTCAATTGAAACTTCAATTTTTTTTTCCTTTTTTCTTCTTCTAAAGAGTAAGAGAGAAGAACGAAGACCCAACACAATGACGACTTAGAGAGTTGTTTGTAATGTGATCTTTGGAGTTTTAGTTAGTTCTTCACTTCGATCATTTTCACAGAAATATCGAAAAAAAATTGGATAGTAATTATGAAGTATAGTTGTACATAAAGGAGCTATCTTTCAAGGTTTTGAAGTTCAAAACCTCACATATTTGGGCAAAAAAGATTACATTAACTTTGAAATTGGATTATACTGTGTACAAGCCTACTCTATAACATGGTATTATGTAATGTCCCGGATTTTTCTGTATTGTTCCTTTATTTATTTTTTCGTACCTTATTTTGCGTGTCATGTGGGCTTCAAGGGTCATTCAGAACTTTTTCTTGAGCTCGGGAGTTTTAGAAATGCAATACCCCTAATTTTAAAGGATAGTCTCGGTAGTTTATTTTTGAGGTTTTATTGTAATTTTGCGTTTTTATGTGGTTATTTAGCTATTTGTTTGGTTGTTTTGTTTGTTGTTAATTAATTGATTAATTGCAGTATTTTGTTTTATTTCATTATTTGATTTAATTGATTAACATGATTAGCTGGATTAATTGTTTTATGTATTTAATGTTGGATTAATTATTTAATTGGTTTGATTTAATTGTTAACTGCTTAATTGTTTTAATTATATAGTTAGGGTTTTATGTTTTTATGAGATCGTGGGTGGCGGACTAGTTGTTTAGTTATTGTTTTAGTTTTTCCCTTCACGTAGTAAGACTAGGTTTAGGGTAAACTTAGTTGCCTATATATATACGAGTATAAGTCTGCCAAGGGTTTTAGAACCCTAAGTACGTACTGGAGGCAGAGGAACTGAGGAGTTGAGAACAGTAGAAATCGCCGAAAACCTTAGGAAGACAACGTTAAGATTTTGAGTTAAAGTCTTACAGGCAAGTTCTAACCTTAACTCCTTCCCTTTTACTCGTATCCTTTGCATGCCTAAAGCAGTTCCAGGAACCATTAACCGTAAGAATTAATTGATTGTGCATGTTTAAAACTTATTAAAGCAGTATGTGTTGAAAAGATTTGTAAATTGCTAGTCTTTGTGTTCGACTATGTACCTACTTGTTTTAAATTGCTGTTAATCAATGCATAAAGGAGTTGGATAAATCTTTTCTGGTTAAGTCTTAACCTAATCAAAACCATTAGAGATTGTAACAGAGAGGGACAGAATCAATGGAATTCACCGGAGACGAAACAGGTGAGGAACGGGTGAGAGCCAGCTCTCAGTTAAGGAGAGCAGGCTCTCCTTCACAAAGAGGCGGTTCCATGGAAGCATGGAGCCGGCTCTAATGGTCCAGGAGGTGGCTTCCTCAAAGAGGGAGTCGGCTCTATCTTCTTTGGAGGCGGCTCCCTCTTTGAGGGAGCCAGCTCCTTTGTGGTTTTGCAATTTTTTTTTTTGGTATTCTGCGAAGTCTGGGCTATTGTGTTCGAATTTTTAAAGTTCCAGGTTGAATTAGGAGCTGTTCTGGGGGTTTGCAGTAATGTCTAAACCCTTATTAAGGTTTCAGAAGGCGTGGTAATGCATAATGTACCATAGGAAGCTAATCTAGAAAACAATGGGAAACTCTTCAGAAAGTTTGTGTGTTGGCTTGGATGCGAATGATTCAAGTTGCTTATTTGTAGAATCAGCAATTAACTTAGGGGTTTTATAGTTTAAATCCTGTCGCAGTGGTTTAAAAATAAGCATGCCAATTATTATAATCTCTGTTATGCTTAATGGAACTGAGTTTATAACTATAAAGTTTTGTATCTTATCAACTTACTGGATATTGTGGAATAGTCTTGAGTGAGCATGTTAATTCTGATATGGTTATTATTATGCTTGTAGTGGATAAAAGGATGGATTATACCTATTCTCTGTATTTTAAACATATTGGAGAATCATGTATCGGTAGTACAGAACAAGCATGTCATATACATATTCTTGTTATACTTGTGATGGATTCTTGTTATACTTGTTATGGATTAGTTGGTATTTACTTTCATTATTAGTGTTATCAACTGCTGGATGGTATAGATTGTATGCACCGGTATGGGACGGTGGCATACTAGGTTTGGACTAGCTCGAAACGCTAAGTCCTACCTATATCGGAATAAGGGAACGAATTATATAAATAAAATCCTACTTATATTTAAGTCAAAGAAGCTGCACAAGCTGAATGACTAATTGGATTACTTGTTATTTATGTTAAGTAAAAGAAGCTACACAAGCTGAATGACTAATTGGACTTACTTTGGATAGATATAACGGACTTTAAATATATGTTTATGGTACCGCAATCTAAGCTTGAGCCTCAGAGTTGTCGGTTAGGGAGCGTATATGCGGTAGGATGCGTAGCTGGATATGAGAGGTTGAGGTATACCCTATTAGGCCTAGGTACTCATGCCCACCTTTGGGTGCGTTTTCGCATGTTGCCTTCTATTTAGGTTGAGACCCTCTCCATAGTCCAGTGAGAGTCCTGTAGTGTGGATATCCTTATGTACGGACTATTAGCTATTGTCGAATTACTTAGGATGTATATGCGTATCGAGTTTCTGCTTGGATTGTAGTAGGTTAGAACTTGTTTGTGGGCCTGACCCACTTCTATTTTTCAGGTACTCGTCAATTTCAGACTTAGATCTGATCGTACTGAGCAAAGACTACTACTCACTCTTCTGACGACGTACGACTTCTCTCTATAGTTTCATTTCGGATGTTCTTTTAAGTATTTATACTTCAGTTTGGATTTTCGTATTAGGGGTCAATGGATGGATTCCCGAGTTGTTTAACTATTGGAGGTTTTGGAATTTTAAGTATTTAATTTTTAAAGGATTCCCTTTTAGATTTCTTCCAGCTATAAATTATTTATTTCTGAATTCATTTTGTAATCTATGTTCATTTAAAATACTTTAATTGTTTGATATTTCCCTCGGGTTCGGGCTTGGGCCTGATCAACTCGTGTCTCGGATCTGAGGGGTATCACACAAAATAGAAAGGTTATGAAACGAAATTTGTAAAAGAACCGAATTTCATAAGTTTGGTGCTAACTCGACCTAGAAGGAGCGTGTGCCAGTTATAGGACGTGTAATATTAATTACTAGGCTCCAAATGCTCGTCGAATTTGAGGCCATGGATATCTAATCAATATCACCTCGATAAAGCCGATTAGCGTGAGTTGGGTCTGTTTGGGACCAAGGTTGTGACAGTTAAGCATTGCATTGCATTTCCATATATATGTTCATAATGAGTTGTGTATGTGACATTATGGAGTGATATATGATCAGTGTTCTACAAGATTCCCATTGTATGATCCCGGTTTCTTTTAAGCCTTTCTATGTATTGCTTGACTCAAGGGAGTCTAAAGTTAGTGCCTTAGGTATCTCCTACTAAGCCCTAATGCTCTCCATTTCCTTTAATATTTTTCAAGTCACGTCAAGGAGGTGGTTGATGACGTTCCTCCACTAATGTAGTTGAAGTCGACGAAATCACTTTTTGTAATCTTTTTGTATACAATACTTTGTTACGAAAAATATTTTTGTAAAGTGACCATGATCCGTTCATTTTGTAAAAGGCATTGTAATTAAGACCTCAAGGGTCTCAACTTGTAACTATATTCTTTTAGACCACTCTAGTATATTTTAGGTATGTAATTAATCATGACGATATCTACATTCGTATGTTAGCAATGGTAGGTTTATGAGATCAATCATCTATATTGATGTATGATGATACGGGGCATTTTATTACATATTTCAAGTGAATTGGGACGGATACTTAATGATTAATTGACCATATTCATGTCCGGTATAAAAAAAAAAATGAGCTATTTTGGGCAAAAAGCTCAATTCTGGGCTTAGGTTACTGGTAGTAGCTTGAGAAATTCGAATTAAACTACTTAGTTACTATTTACCAGTTAGTATAAGTTTGGGCTACCGGTAGCACAAAATTGCTACTGGTCGTGTCTCAACGCACTGCACCTTGCGTGCGTGTGGATGTTGCAGGACAATGGGCTACCAGTAGCACAGTCCTGCGATCGATAGCGGCTTCCACACTTGGCAAATTTTTTAATTTTTCCACTTTTGCATTCTTAAGTCCATAACTTAATGGAATGTTATTGTGATGGTATTAATGACTAATGGGTAACTAATAGAGTGTAATAGACCTAGTAAAGAACCTAATGTCAATGAATAACCGTTTTGCCCTCGGATGACCTCGGGTTCAGGATAGGACCCGATTAGCAATTCGGACCCCCCTGGTTCGGGTCGTTACGTATGATATTGTCTGTTTTAGGCACGAACCCACACAATTTTGTTCTTGTGTTTTGGTGGTTGTCGTCGCCAACCCAAAGTTTATGCAAGAGAGAGTGTTGGACTATAGTGAGTGTGGCCAAGTTTTACATTTATAATTTGCCACTACTACCTTTCACTAAAAATATAGTTAGAGTGAGTAGGGATCATTCCAATGGATTGGTGAGTCGTATTAGGTTGTGGAATCGATATTAGGGTTAGTAGGTCGAGTGATCAAAAGATTGGTTGGTGGTTGAATTACACTAAGATGCAATTTAAACTAAAGTAAACAATTAAATTTAATGGAGAGAAAATAAGAGAGAGATCTTGGGTTTAGAGATCACCACTAAGTATAGCTTTTCTACACCCTTAATGAATGATTAATGAGGGGGAAAACATGTATTGCAACATTAGTGTGTGTGTGTGATTGTCTTAACAAGAATGGATGACAAATTAAGCATATATTGTCTAAGCAACATGGTGGATAGCACAATATATCAAACTAAGCCATTAATCTTTTCTTTAAGCTCACAATCCAAACACATCACAAGGTTAGAGACATATGCTACTTGCTTTCATAAGTATGGAACATCAAACAACAAGCATGG